CCCCCCCCTTACAGAAATATGTTAAAAGTTAACGAGAAGTGTATTTATATATTTTGTTAATTTCACATTTTCTGTTTACATTATATCATTAGAAATAATACTGCATGTGGTTTACAATTTTACAATATTTGTTCAACAACAAAATAAGAGATTTAAGAAAATCTTTAATTTTTGAAACAAATAATAGCTGAACACTTGATCCAAACTCTAAATTCATAGTTGATATCTTTGCAATCTGATGGTGTAAACCTTTCAGTTTAATGTTTTAAACTATTTGATCTAGCAGAATCAATAGTTTGAAATATCAAAGGTTCAGTTACTTCATGATCTACATTAGCTCCATAAAAAGGTCGGTTTGTCTCCAATCATTTTTCTCAAAATTTAGTTTATTAATTAAAAACTTTGCATTTATGAAAATATATAGATGAGTCAAAATTTTCAATCCCTATCCCACCCCCTATGAGAGGTGTACCTATGGGAAATAAAACTGCGTAAAGGAAAACTTTTCTTGTCTATCAATTTTACATTTTTTATTGTTGAGAAAATCTCTGGAGCTCAATTTGAGGTAGATTTTACCTTTATAATTTACAGTGTATAGGATAATATTTATTCTTTTTACAGTGTTACTATTAACTAGGTTAAATGGTTTATTTCTTGGAAATATTTTTCTAATCTCGCCCAAATATTCTTTCCATAGGATTGCTTCTCCATGGAGGACTTATGCTGCCTAAACAATATCATCATCATCATCATCATCATCATCATCATCATCATCATCATCATCATCATCATCATCATCATCATCATCATCATCATCATCATCATCATCATCATCATCATCATCATCATCATCATCATCATCATCATCATCATCATCATCATCATCATCATCATCATCATCATCATCATCATCATCATCATCATCATCATCATCATCATCATCATCATCATCATCATCATCATCATCATCATCATCATCATCATCATCATCATCATCATCATCATCATCATCATCATCATCATCATCATCATCATCATCATCATCATCATCATCATCATCATCATCATCATCATCATCATCATCATCATCATCATCATCATCATCATCATCATCATCATCATCATCATCATCATCATCATCATCATCATCATCATCATCATCATCATCATCATCATCATCATCATCATCATCATCATCATCATCATCATCATCATCATCATCATCATCATCATCATCATCATCATCATCATCATCATCATCATCATCATCATCATCATCATCATCATCATCATCATCATCATCATCATCATCATCATCATCATCATCATCATCATCATCATCATCATCATCATCATCATCATCATCATCNATGTTACCCTCTGTTCCAACCCTTACGCTGAGTATCCTCCCTTTTCTTTATACTCCCTCACCTCCTCCTTACCTTTTACCTGATTTATTATCATTCTTATGTTTTAAATGTACAATGTACATTGTTTTTATCTGCAATTCTCATTCGTTTATAGTAGGCCAACCAATTAAAACAACCTAGGCGGGTCCAAACTACATACTTTTGATTTCAAGTTTTTATTTTTACCAAGCTCTCAAGCAGCATGGATAAACATGGAAACAAAGATAAGCTGTAAATTAACAGCTTCTCTTTGTTTACTTGTTAAAAATCAAAACTTAAACAGAAAATTCGTCTTCATTGTATTGATATGAACGCCGACCAGTGTATTTTTAAAATGACCTGAATTGACCATCTCCGTAATAAAGAGGGCTCGGTTGATTTCTCCTGTTCGCTCCACACACTTCTCCAGCACGTTACTTGCGTACTTGTGCTGGGACAGCTCTACCACGTGACCGCAGATACTCTACATATACAGATTATACAGATAGAACCAGATACTCTACATATACAGATTATACAGATAGAACCAGATACTCTACATATACAGATTATACAGATAGAGCCAGATACCGTTGTTAAACCATTTTCACAATTTGTGTGTACATTAACTGAACTGAATTGCTTACAATTAAAAGAAATATATATATTTATGATAATTAACATTATCTTCAGACCTTTAATTATCCTCCACCAAAATTATGCCTACAGGAAGCCATGATAAGAATAATCTATAGAAATTAGTATTGAGTAAATTTTGCTAAACAATTATAGATAAGCAATGTGATTGTGCAAATCTGATTAAATACCCGCTTTAATTATTTTAATAACCAAATATTTCTGTAAATAAATGGATTTGGTTGTAACTAAAGTTGCAAATTATTAAAAAAAAACTTTTTACATTCTTAATTTTTGTTATAGGAATATATCTATTATATATATATATATCGTCGAAAACTTCAAAGCACAAAATCTTTAATTTTAAAATGTTTATTTTGTCTGTTTTAGGTAAGAAAAAAATAAAAAGTTTTTAGGTTATATACGCATATCTATATATATATCTTCCTTTTCGAATGTGTAAAATCATCCTATAAACTACAGCTGTAAAAACAATTTGCCCAAATAAAAACACACACAAAAAAATAGATAAAATTTTCACAATTTATCAACAATTCCAAAATGTTAAGTTACCCCCAAGCCAAGAAAAAATGTTTAAAACTCGATGAAATTCGACACTTTTGCATATTTTTACTTCTTTGTTTTTTCCCTTGCCTTGACTCATTTAATGTTATTGGAACGTTACTTCACGGTTCTACAACATTTGACATTTTCCTCACTTTTAGAATTCAGTGTAATATGATATTTACTCTACATAAACACACATCATAGAATACAATATTTATCTTTTCATCCGTTTATTTCATCCATAATTGAGCCTTTATATTCTTATACATTTGCATTGCCACAAACTCAATTTTTAAACCCTATATCTTTAGAATTTTGTTCTGAAACATACCTATAGCATGAAACATAAACCTGATTAGATAACTAGCCTATAGTTTGAGGGTGAATTATAAATATTTATCAAGTCTTGGGATTGGAATAAAAATACCTGAGCAATCTTCTCTGTTTCTTCCTTGCTTCCATGATCCAAAATATGCTGTACTATATAGTTACCGTACTGGTCCTGTAAACAAACTATCTTTATATCCCAGCTCAATAATATTATATCCCAGTTCAATGAAATTATAATCCCAGCGTAATAATTATATCACGGCTCGATAAAATTTTTATCCCGGCTCGATAAAATTTTTATCCTGGCTCAATAATATTATATCCTGGCTCAATAATAGCTTGTCACGCCTCAATCCTTTAACAAACAAAGTTCAACATTACTTCCCCCCTTTTTCACTTTTTCCAACACAGCCCGTGGTATAATCCCAACTATCTCTTGTGATCCCCAACATCTAATTCTTTGATCCCAACTGACAACTCTTTGATCCCAACTAGAAACTCTTTGATCCTGAATTTCCCCTCTTTCATTCCAACTGTCTACTAAATGATCCCAACTGGTTACTCTTTGATCCCAACCGGTTAGTCTTTGATCCCAACCGGTTACTCTATGATCCCAACTGGTTACTTTTTGATCTCAATTGGTTACTCTTTAAACCCCCACTAAACACTCTTTGATCCCAACCTTCAAAATTATTTTTTCAAATTGCCATTTTTTCATCCCAACTGTCTACTCAATAATCCCAACTGTCTACTTAATGATCCCAACAGTCTACTCAATGATCCCAACTGTCTACTCAATGATCCCATCTGTCTCTCAATAACCCCAACAGTTTACTTAATGATCCCAATTGTCTACTCAATGATCCCAACTGTCTATTCAATGATCCCAACTGTATACTCAATGACCCAAACTGTCTACTCAATGATGCCAACTGTCTACTCAATGATCCCAACTGTCTATTCAATGATCTCAACTGTATACAAAATGATCCCAACTGTCTACTCAATGATGCCAACTGACTGCTTAATGATCTCAACTGGCCAATCTTTGATCCTGCGCAGCCACTCTGTAATCCAAATTGACCACTTTTTATCCCAAATGATAACTCTTTAATCTGAATTATCCACTCGATGATCCCAATTGTCTCAAAATGATCCCAATTGACTACTTAATGATCCCAACTAGTCAATTTTTTATCCTACTCAGCCACTCTGTGATCCCAATTGACCACTGTTGATTTCGACTGGTTACTTTATGATACTAAATGACCAACATATATCTAAATTAGTCACTTTATTATCCCTGCAGACCAGGCATACAAAACTGGTCAAATGGGAAGTTACGATTCTAATATTTTAAAGAAATCAGCTGGTTGGATTTAAGTGTCATATGAAACCCCTTTTTCAGAAATATCGAGATACATTGTGTTGCATTTTTCGCGCAGCAGGAGTATACACAACTTGATTTAGTGAGACATATTTCCCCAGAAAAAAGGTCAAAATATGATCCCCAACATTCTCTACCTCAGTTCAAATTACAGTGAGAGTGTTTTTAAAAAGATTACCTGAATTAAACTGTAGATCGCTGGATTTACTTCGTTGAGAATTAGTCGTCTTTGCTGAAGGTTTGCGTTTTCTAGAAATCGTTGAATGACGCGGCAACCGTACGGATCACAGCTGATATCAATTATCTAAATAAACATTTAACAGATTTCAACAGAATTAAAGATTAATTCAACGATTGAAAAAAAACTGCACTTGTTTTTCTATTCATGAATTTGGGACAAGTATTTGCTGTTCTGCAGAACTTCAAGAGTCAAAAATATATATTATAGAGAAAATGGTTTTTGTCCTAAATTTATTTTGATAAAATGAATATTTTAGGGATTTTATAATAGTGATATTTTTTTGGATGTTTAGTAAATATTAGTTTAACTCTGATCCTACCTTTCCCGTGGATTTTGTAATGATATTTTCTAGAACTGATTCCTCAACCTTTTCTACGCATTTCTGTATCACATGGTTTCCATGCTGCTCCTTCATGCACTCAACTAGCTTATCATCTAGTCTCTGCAGTTAAAAAAAATAAGTATTTTTAAATCATCGGATTTGGTACAGGTAGTGTTGGTAATCGCTTTAGATCAGTTTTTTTCATTTTATGAAAGTGTCTTATGTACTATTTTTTAAAGTATGCTTTTAGTAATCTTTGCAATATATTTATCCTTAACAAAAAAATCCAAAAACTATTATAACAACACGTTCGCTTTCGCATCCTTTTATGGTCGTTTTTTTCAATACATCTTCTGATTTTAGGGCCAAAATTGACAATAGGGTTAAACAGGCAAAAGTTTAAAATAAACAATTTTGAAAACATTTGCTTTGCTTACATTATGCCAAATTTTAACCCTAAAAGAACATATATATGCAAAAATTAACGACAAATGAACTGAAAGCACATCCCTAGGTATGGTCCACAAGGTGTACCAATTTACAGGGCTATTAAATACTGTCTTCAAGATTGTTATTGAATATGGTTTTTCATTTACCAAAAAAAAGCTTTTAACAAAGGAATGAAATTTTTTTTTTTTTAGATGTTCCGAAATAATGTAGCAAGACGAGCTATAACCACAATAATCTAATGTAATTTAAAACAATCACTTAGCCTGAATTAACGGAGTGAAAATGAATTTGTTGTGGATTTAATAAGCAATTTTTTCAATTTATTTGGTATACTGTTTAAGGAGTATCGGAGATGCACATTTCGTATTGTTTGGAAAATATACTAGAAAACTGAAGGTTATTAGATTGTTGCTTCCCCAATTCACAATGGTACCCTGCAACACTTTGACTGGAGTCAAGGATGTGCCCTTAATAATCTACTGAAACGCTTTAAATTGTTAAACCCATTGTTTGCAAGCTGTCGTATATCTAAGAAATGTGACAAAAAAATATACGCTTTCGAATGTTAGAAAATCGCTTTTCACATTAAAAGGACTATTTTTTTCATGGAAAGCTAGTATAATGCATCAGCTGTTTCAAATTTATGCTGTACACAGCAGACACCGGAATTTTTAAGAACATAATCAGTTTTTGTTAAGTTTACACAAGCAGATCTCTGTACTCGATGAATACACAAAGGTTTAAAGGGTGCAGTTGTAAATAGGACATTGTCCTCTTTGCATGGAGGGTTACTTGAAATTAATAATAATAATTTTTTTTCAATTAATTCATTACTCCTCAGTTCTTAACTTAGGTTTTCCAAAAAATATCAGCAAAATAAAACATTCAAGCAGTTGCAAAGAATAATGGATACTAAAACCTGTTTTTGTCTTTTCACATATTTTTAAGTTTCTTTCTATTGATGTGATAGATATGTATTTTTAACAAACTATAGTCTGCCCGTAATATAATTACTCTGCTATATATGTCCCCTCTATTTATCATTAATTCAATTAATAAATATTTCTAAAGAAAACTACATATATTATATGAGGGAAAATATTACTAATTGTTCCTAAAAGAAACTCTGGTTTACATATTTATATTCCTGCAAAATGAATAAAGCAGAGGGACATAAAAGCAATGTTGGGCGTAGCTTTTTTGTGTATACATTTTTCGACGTTGAAACTTTTTTTAACGTCACTCTTTTTAATTTTGGATACATAAAAGAATGATTTCAATCCATAAGGAAAAACAGATCAGTTTTAAATTTCCATTGTATTAACCTAATAAATTAGCTTTTTCCTGCTTGAGTGTAAAATCTAAACAAGAGAAGATACGATGACACAAAGTTGCACTGGTAATTTTGCATTTTGACCTTTTCCTAGATTGGTTTGATCTCTCAAACTAACTATTTAAAGGTAGAATCATTTTTGTCAAAATACAGTCTTTTAATAGAATATTAGTTGATTTGGCAAAGAAAAAAACACCATTATAAATGCATGAAAGAAGACAAAATAAATTCTATACATGTCGTTTCTGAAGCAAGGCATGTAATTCAAGGAAAGTTAATTGGAGTTGCGTATACTCAGCGTACATCTTGAAACCAGTTCTCCCTGGGCGGAATTTGTAAACAAGAATAGATACATCAGTGTTTGTTTATTTTCCGAGGAGGTTAAAAGCATTAAATTTCGATAATTCCCAAAATAGTTTCCTATGACCAGAATATTTCATTAATTTTTTATTTGAAAGATGGATCCCATGTCAGGCTTCGACATCCGTCTTGTGTTTACATTATACCGCCGAGAGACAGTACACTGCAGTACAAAAGATGCGCACACCTCTGAAATAACTTTCCTTGCATTACAACCTTGTTCTGAAGTATCTTTTCTTGTGGTTAATACTCACAGTGATCGATGAGAATTTTGCCAATTTATTAGTTCTAAAATGTACATGTCTATTTAAAAGTTCTAAAATGTACATGTCTATTTAATAGATCTAAAATGTACATGTCTATTTAATAGTTCTAAAATCTACAATGTACATGTCAATTTAATAGTTTTTAAATGTACATGTCTATTGTCTAGGAATTAGGGTTTCCAGTGAACGAAAAATTTGGCGAAATAATGCGAAATTTCGCAAAAATTTTCTTTCGTTTTTCGCAAACTTTTTCGCAAAATTTCACATTTTTTGCGAAAATGAATGAACGATGCGGAATTTCGTAAAGAACACGCTAAATATGCGACAATTTAGCGAAAAATTGCAAACAAGCATGCTTTTTTTCACAAAAAATGCGAAATTTTCGCAAAGATAAATGCGACACTACTAAGTCGACCCAGTCTTGAAAATTGATGCAACTTCTGAAAGCAGTCTGTATGTATGTGAAGCTGTAGTTAATCTAACCGTACCTTGACAATATCAGCTGCTGTTTGAGTTGAGAATATAGAAATCATCTTCTGTACTACTCGGCATCCATATTGGTGAAATGATAACGTCAGAAGATTCTCCAAAACCTAAAATTTGAAATAGTTTTTTATAAAAAAGAAAACTAGTCTTAAAGAGACAATAAGCGTATTTTCGTGTTGCCCTCCATGAAAAGATGACACTGTCCGATTCACAATAGTACCCATAACCAGCTTTGTCTGATCCAGCATGAATTAGATATCAATGTTTATAATTTTGAAAATGATTATTTTCAATTGTGATGTCTATAGAAAAGTGACTTATGCATTTCTACTTCAAGAAAATATATTGGAAATATTAGAATTAAACACTTTTAAACCTTTTAAAAACGACTATATCTTCCACATTACTTATCAGATAAAGGTTTAAAGGGTACTATTGTGAATCGGGCAATGTATTTTTTTGCGTGGAGGGTTACTTCAAATTACGTTTTTTTTGTATTTGTTTCAAATTCGTTCGGTCATCGTTTGTTAAAGACCCATAATTCGTTAGTTTTTTTTCAGTTGTTTAGTAAACATTTATTTAAATTCGTTCATTTTTCATTTATTTTGTTCGTTTTTTAACTGAACGATCGTTCCATTAAATCGTTTATTCAGTGAGTTCGTCTGTTAAGTAAAATCGATTGTTCCACAAAATCGCTAGATCAGAAAAAAACTATTGTTTTTTTAGTTCGTTCCAAAAAAAATTCAGTAAAACAACAATAGTTTTTTTCAACAGTCTATTCGAAAAAATCGTTCATTAAGTAAAAAACAAGAGTTTTCGAAAATTTGGCCAAAAACGATCACTAAAATAGAAACAATCGGCAACTTTTTTAAACTTTATATCTTTTTTCTCGTTCGTTTTGAAAAATAGGTGTGTCTTCGTTCGTTTGGATAAAATATACTTTTTCATTTGCTTTAAAGCGATTTTAAAAAATGGAAGATATCCCCAACACCTCGTAGTGTTTAATGATACTAACTGTATTACAAGCTTATTTTTAATTTATTTTTACAGCCACTTTGTTTCACCCCCTTCCCTCTCTCCTCCCCCCTTTCCTTGGGGAATATAGTATACAATACACTTTATTATCCGTATACAAATAGATTTACTGTAGAATAATAATTATTTGATTATCTTCTTTATATTATATTCAGATTCATCCATCAAAGAATAATACCTATCAACCAACAAACATATTATCTGACTTTAGCTTTTGCTTTAACCACGTACGCAAGTGGTTACGAAAAGTTAAAAGGAACTGTACTAATAAAGTTCTACTAATAAAGGATACCAGTAAACCTCTTAAACTGTACAATTCCTAAAATTCCGAATATTTTATGTAAAACGCTGTTTTCCAAATTTTGAATGAAAATCTTTATTTTCTGTCAGACATGTACTTGAAATTACATCTCTTTAAGACATTGACTTGAAATTACGTCCCTTTAAGACATGTACTTGAAATTACGTCCCTTTAAGACATGGACTTGAAATTACGTTCCTTAAAGACATGGACTTGAAATTACGTCCCTTTAAGACATGGAATTGAAATTACGCCCCTTTAAGACATGGAATTGAAATTACGTCCCTTTAAGACATGGAATTAAAATTACGTCCCTTTAAGACATGGAATTGAAATTACGTCCCTTTAAGCGGGTTGAAAATGTCCATGTCAATACTAAACAGAAAAAAATGTTTAAGTTTCTAAGAACTAAGTTTTACTTGCTGATGTTTTTATCAACGAATTTCAGAATACAGCTGGCCGATTTGTTTATCTTTGATCATACATGATGATAGAGAAGTTGATCAATTTAAACAGTTTTATCATAAATATAGATATTTTGTAATATTAATGCAGGGTTTCATTTCAAAACAAATATATAACTCTGATTTTCTAATGCCTATATAATTGCAACTCAAAGCGTGAATTCTGTTATATCTACTTATCTAAGCTTGAATTATTAAAGATATACACCACCAGGTTGCCAAGATATTGGGATTAGAAAAATTGAGTCTGTGTCAAAGACTCAATTCCTTTCAAACGAACTTACAAATACAGTGAAAACCAGAACTCTCTGGAAGAAGAAGTCGTCTTTTAGACTCAATTTATGACTTTGAATAGTCCAATACACATGGGACTCCGCAATTGTGCAGTGTAATCAAATCAATTTCACTTAATACGTGGTTTAAGAACTCACTATTGATGCTTTTTGCTTTGTAACATTATCAAATGTATTTCAGTCTTGCTTTAATGTCGTCTTCCTATTCTACAGTTTTCTGGTTATCATTGTATACAATGTTTAAATCTTAAAACTGTAGAGTAAATGTCGTCTTTTTTATTTTTCTTTCACTTAAGAAAGGATTTTGAAATTGCCAGTTTTTAACTGATACATCTCAAAATATTGTTCCTCGCACTTTTTTCTTTAAAAGTTAAATCTCAAAGAGGATCAGAATGTTTTCCGGATCTCACTGTAAAAAAGGATTTTTTTCAAATTCCTTTTTTGCATGGTGAAAATTGCAGAATGCATTATAAGTTATAACGCTTCATGAAGGTTATATATTTATACATATTTCTCGGTGTGTTTCTCTAAATATCCAAAGATCGAGTCTCTAATTGATACCAATGATCTCGGTCCATTAAATGTAATTTTGTATTTCTCTAAATAATTCTGTAGAATTACTCGGCTAATTAAAGGGAACGTTACTTCAATAATAGAAAGATATTTTTTGAAGGAATTAGGAAAGTTTTGTCAAGATAAATTTATAGTAAATATACCAAATAAAAGCATCCTACAAAAAGATATTGTAAAAATCAGAAATTTTTAACGAAAATGTGCAAATTGAAATTTTAAGTACAATTGTAGGCGATTAAATCAATATAATGAAAACGACTTTGGATTTCAATTTTGATTCATATCAAGCTTTTGAATAGCATGGATACACAAAAATGGAAACAAAGAGAAGTCTCATTTAAAAAGCTTCTCTTTGATTACTAAATTTGTTATCCGAAGAAAACTTTAAAAAGTCGTCTTCATTACATTGGTATATTCGCCTACCACCGTATTTACCACCAAAGAAAGACAGCATTAATATTTTTTAAAGATTTAATAAAAATTTAGTTTGAAAAGAGTTAGTTATTACTTATATCGAATTATTAAAAAATAGTAGAACCCATTTTTCTTTATATCAAAAACTTTATTTACTATTTGAAAAATCTATTTTCTTTATATAACTTTATCAATATGTATCAAATCATATTTATAGATAATGCCCAAAATTGATAGTTTACTTTTTTAATTTACTGCCTACGATCACTATAGTTTACTTTTTGGGGAAAACAAAATTTTAATAAAATATTTAAAATGCTGAGCTACATTACATTTTTTAACAGTTACAACCAAAATTATGTATGAGTTAAATTTTAATGCCTATAATTTGGAAAATTTATGTTTATTGGGGTTTATCTATTCAAGTGACTTGCGCATTTCTACGGAACAAAATCATTATAGGAATTATTAGTATAAACTATTTAAACGAATACTTTTGACTCCAGAGAAAACGACAATATCTTCCACATTTTTGATCAGAGGTTTCAAATACAACGTTTAGAATCGGACATCGCCACTTTGCATATTGAGGCCTGAGGGTTTCTTAAATTACGCTTACAGTCCCTTTAAAGGGAGTATTTGGAAATAGACGCACGTTTCCAATTGTCCCAGCAACGTTGGTTTTCTGAACTACGGATTTAATATTTTCCTTCCAAAATACTCTATAATCCGTTTTAAATATTTTTGCATCTTGATGGCACTGTGATTATGAAAGTGCCAAAATGTTTAAATGTTGAAAAATCAAAGTTTTATCCTGGAATAATGGAATCAACACAGATAATTAACTTCAATCTATCGTTCAAAATTCAAAATAGGTACAGAATACGCGCAGAATACGTGCAGATTACGCAGAATACGCAGAGAATACGTACAGTAAACAAACAGAATGCGTACAGTAAACGTACAGAATACGTACAGTAAAAGTACAGAATGTGTACAGTAAACGTGCAGAATGCGTACAGTAAACGTACAGAATACGTACAGTAAACGTACAGAATACGGACAGAATACGTACCGTAAACGTACAGTAAACGTACAGAATGCGTACAGTAAACGTACAGAATACGTACTTTTGAAAAATGATTTTTATCAGATTTAGCAAATATTAAGTTTTCTGTCATATTCCCAATGCACGATTCAATATGATGTGTGACACCCTTTATCTGTTATTTTTGTATTTACAAACATTATGCTTGTTTATTGACACAAGTAACTGATTATAAAGTTTTCATCCTTGGGTCGGTGAAACCCTTTGTCCGTAACAAGTATAGTGTATAGGGGGGAAACTTCACAGTGTAAACATCAACTTTTCTGAAAACAAAGTCGGGACCTAATGTTTGTCCGTTTAGGTTTGTATGTTTTCTTCAGTTTTAACTTGGTTGTAAACTGTCAATTATACTTTTAAAAAACTATCTTTGTAATTTCAAGTGACATGACAATATATTTAAAGAAGGGCACCTCTGATCTGCACAACAGTACCCAATTCAAACATTTATAATATAAATAATCTGGAATAAGTCGTTGTTGGCAAGCTTAAAGTGATTAATTCTGACAATTTTCACCATTGATTCTGAAGCAAAAATGCGGAAGGCACTTTAAGGAGAAACCCTTATTGCAAAATAAACAATTTCCAAAGACAACATTATAGAAATTTCATTAACTCTGTTTGTATGACTATGTGATTTATAATACTTTGAAATGCTTTTTAAATGTTTCATATAGTCTTAATTTGTTAAGGTTCCAAAAGAAGGTGTGAGGTACCTTCCCAGAGGGATTTTCCCAAGGGAGACTTCCCAAGAGACAATTTTCCAAGTGGCATTTTCCCAAATGTGAAATTTCCCAAGCGGCAACTTCCCAAATATACATTTAAGGTTAGGTTAGAGGACTGAGCGTTGCGGCTAGGATGGGCTAGGGGGCCGATAGCTGGAAGCCGGAACAGTCTAGGGAGCCCAGCGCTGCGGTTAGGACAGACTTGGGGAGTTGTCGCTTAGGAAATCAAAAATTTGGGAAGTCACCACTCGGAAAAATACCCTTGGGAAGTTTTTTCTTGGGAAAATGCCTTTGTTTAGATTAAAGGGTTAACAGTTTTTTTTAATATTCCTTTTGTTACCAGAGTTTTTTTAAGAAAAAAAATAACGCTAATAGAAACAAGCAGAAATTGAATCTGTTATAAAGCAAAGATTCGAGGAACAGAATTAACAATTAATTTATTAATAATTAAGGTCAAATTAACTATTAAATTAATCTTAACATGGTGAATTAATTAAACAGTATCAAGTTAATCAACAGTATTCAATTCAATTTTATTACATTCACAACAAAAGTTAAAATATTATTGATTTTAAATTTAACTTATTGTTGCAAAAATATTTTTTTCCAGTTTACCTTTGCTTGGATTTCCTGCTTGATTTCATCTGCTCCAAATTCTAGAAGTTTCTGAACAACATAGTTTCCAAATACATCCAACATCAACCCTTTTAGACCACTTTCCACTTCCTAAATATTATTATAGTTTCCGAATATATTCAACATCAACTCCTTTAGACCACTTTCCACTTCCTAAATATTTTCTCCTAAATATTATCATAGTTTCCAAATACATTCAACATCAATCCCTTTAGACCACTTTCCACTTCCTAAATATTTTCATAGTTTCCGAATATATTCAACATAAATCCCTTTAGATCACTTTCCACTTCCTAAATATTTTCATAGTTTCCAAATACATCCAACATCAATCCCTTTAGACCACTTTCCACTTCCTAAATATTTTCATAGTTTCCGAATATATTCAACATCAACCCTTTTAGACCACTTTCCACTTCCTAAATATTATCATAGTTTCCAAATACATCCAACATTAACCTCTTAGACCACTTTCCACTTCCTAAATATTATCATAGTTTCCAAATACATCCAACATCAACCCTTTTAGACCACTTTCCACTTCCTAAATATTATTATAGTTTCCAAATCTATCCATTGTTAATGGGAATCTAAACTTAGTTTGAAATGACCCTCCGAACCATGTAAAGTTGAAGATGCCTGATTCACAACGGTTCCCTTGAAACCTTCATCAGATCAATAATGTGGAAGATATTGTCATTTTCTAGGTTTAAGTAGATTTAAAACTTCTGATGATTCCTATATGTTTTCCATAGAAATGTGCAAGTACTTAATGTACTTTGTGGGGAACCCAAAATTGAAAAAAAAACAGTTGTTCATATTATAAACTTGGATATATAATTTAAACTTGATCAGACAACGCTTCCAAAGATACAATTGTGAATCGGCCATTGCGATCTTTGCATAAAGGGTCACTTGAAATAACGTTTACAGTCCTTTCAAGCTCAATATATTTTTTACTGCCTCATATTTTTTCACTATAAATATTTTTTTAAGTTTTGAACATTAAGAGTTAGAAATTTTGACGCGGGTTCCACTCTAAAACACTGCCCTCCCTCCCTTTTATGTATGTTCTCTTTGCGCAAAAACTTTTTATTTAAAGGGACAGACCGGCTATGTAAGGTAGTTAAACTGAGTATGCAGTGTTGTGGACAAATTCTTTAGGATTCATAGCCATGTATTCATAACACTGCATACTCAGTTCAACTACTTTACATTTGAGGAAAATTTGGACAAATTTTGTTAAAAATTGATTTGAATAATAATAATAAAATATAGGTTTCTATGTTGATTATCAGAAAACTAGCCGTTGAGAAATTGCACATTCCTTTATCAAAATCTGTTTTTTTGGTATGCAACAATTTTCATCGAATCCCGCTGCTCTAAAATCTTTTCAATTGATTTAAATAAGAAAGTTTCCATTGAATCCCACCAGGTTTTCTATGGTTTTACAACTTGCCCGTCCCTTCTTTTTTCTCTTAAAAACATTATGAATATATTTTTAAGAACATTTTCAATTAAAAATTTGAACCTTTCCTCTCACTTAATATTTATTACTAAATGATTTTTTTAGGACTTGTACACAATTTACGGATAAAGTTTGCAACTAAAGGCGCTGGAAAATAATTGTGGCAAGCAACAAGATAAGCTTTGAATTTGCACAGATAAGTTAGCCAGCTACATATCAAGTTATTCTCTATTTTTGAGCAATTGGGAATGGAACTCCTACTTCCCGTTATCTTAGTCCGTACTTCCAATGCCACACTAAACTATGCCAGTGGTGTATGTATGTTAAATAGGAAAATTATAGGCCGGGTACTGTAAAAAGTCTAGCCGCGCCATCAGGTCGACATAGGATAGGGGCGGAGCGGTATTTGCCTCGGCGTTACAAAGGCCGGTGAGGGTCAGTCCGGTTCGAATTCAAATAGACCCTAGTCCACCACTGTAGGTATAAAATGCCCCAGTTTTATAAAATAAAAGTATATAGTGTCAAGTTCTAAGGTAGTGAGATTAATGAAAAAATTTTAACTTTTATTTTCAAACTGTGGTATTGGCGGTAGTGAGATTTCAAAATCCAAAATGAGAATATAAAATTTTACTCTATCAATGGAGATTGAAAGGTTACTGAAGTTTCTTTAATGTTTTTAATTGCAAGCGTTTTTTTACCTTTTAAAAATTTACATGATCCATGTGTGAAAACTTTTTATTTTACTGCTTATAAAGTTTTCTTTAAAAAAAAGATATTTTACCTATGCAGTGGTTTGTTATATCTTGCAGGGAAACTAAAGGACATCTGTTATTCCTAAAAAAAAAAAAACATAAATTTTAATTTTAGGCTATGAGGTTATGTCACAAAATTGCTGGGTTTTAGTGGGACTAAAAATCATGTTTTCTTTTAACAAGATATATACTTTAATGTACTGTCTGTACATTAAGCATTTAAGGTTTATTGATGTCTGAATTGATTTAGAGTACTTATGTTTTGTCAATATCTGTATGTTGTAATTAATACTGCAGAAAACAGTTTATGTAATTTGATATTAAACTAAAGGAGTGAGAAAAAAATTATAATATTCGATATACATATTGTGTTATTTAGATAAAAAAAAATTTGAAAAAAACGTTTAAGGAATGAATTAAGAATAATAGTGGAACTGCAACATAAACACTTTCTGGTCTCATGAAATTCTTTGTAAAAAAATAAAAATAGATTTCAATGCATAAATAAAAATATTTATAGATAGACGGAGTTGGAAATTGATGGAAAGTGATGGAAATAGATAGAAAGTGTTAGAAATGATAGATAGAAGGATTTAGAAATAGATGTCTAAATATACGGAACGAAATATAAATAGATAAAGATATAACTATCTGCCTTTACCTTTCTTCTTAAAAAAAAGAAGGTATATTAAGATAGAATATTGCTGGAAACGGTGTCTCATATATATTATACTAGCTAAAGTGCCCGGCGTTGCCCGTGGAATCTTTTAGTAGGGATAATTTTGTCCAGCCGTTTGGCCAACAATAATAATAATAGTAAATATAATCTACTGATGATAGCTGCCAGGCATGAAACATCTTGTATAGTATAAACCTAAAATATATAAAAATGTTTTAATTAAATTTATTATAATAAAAGAAATTAAATAACAAGTAAATATCAATATTCCTTAAAATATAAAATATTTTTTAAACAATACGCTGAATTATGGCTTTACTGTCGTCTTCTCATTTTCACAGTTGAAATAAAAAATAGAAAAAAGAAGATGAATAGATAGATAGATAAATGTTGAAATGAATTTGGAAGTGAAGTATAGTTAACTGTTGTGTAGTGTATGGTGTGGGGGATGTAAACAGAATTTATAAACACCTCCTCCTCCAGTTAGTTTCCTAAAAAAGCTAGTCTCAAAAGTTTAGATATTAAAAACAAAGCTATTGCAAGTTCACTTCAGTTTAAAATTTCCATGATCCTTGCCGGTACAACACGTACTGTATATGCAGTCCGTTGTACTGTCCAGTCAGACTACCCAGTTCAGAGACGACCCCGCACGTTTAATGCAACAACAGATATTAAAGCGCACATATAGTGTACCATACCCCAACCCTCATCTCCTTTCTCGTGTTTAGTAGTTTAGTAGTTTAGTAGTTTAGTAGTTTAGTAGTTTAGTAGTTTAGTAGTTTAGTAGTTTAGTAGTTTAGTAGTTTAGTAGTTTAGCAGTTTTTTTTCTAGTATTTTTTTCCGAAATTTTTATCCTAAAATAGGAAAAATGGTCAAACGATCCATTAAACTATCGTTACAATGCTATTGTTTTTGCATCGTTATTGGTCCGTTTCTGGCATAAATATTCTGTCAGAGTTAAAATTTGACAAAGTGTAAGAAAAACAAATGTACAGAATTAAAAGTTTTCTTACACTTTGTCAAATTTTGACTCTGAGAGAAAAAATAAGGAATAAACGACCCAAAAACGAACCAAGTAAATGCACATCTCTAGTTATAATTAGACTTGTAGTTTATACATTCATGTCTTTGCTTCTGTCCTAATTTATCTTAATTAATCCTGAAACAGGGTTTCAGGTCTGATTAGGAGTAATCAATGGATGGAACCTAGGATAGGAGGGGCGGGGAGATAGGGGTCGCGTCAGATGTATCTCCCTCCTATTTCATATCTCCTTGGTTTAAAACATGAATTACCTGAACCCCTCGAGAAGCTGAGAACGAGGTTTGGATCCAGGACTGCTCCTAGCTCTATGCAGGGATGGAGCAGCAGATATCTAAAATACCGTTTAACTTTTAAAAAAAAGATGTGACCCCAAAACTTTTGTAAAAACAAAACGATCTATGTTAGGTCCGGGAAAGCTCCGAAGAAATGCAAACTTTACTGATCACCAAATAAACCAATTCTAAACATCAGAATTCTATATTTTAGCAATGAGATAATTTTATCTAAACTAATATGGACAAATTTAGAAATCCTTAAGTTTCCATGAATGGGACTGTACATGGAGTTACATTCAAGATTCACAACGATACTTTGTCTGATTAAAGTTAAGATAGGGTGGGGTTAAATTTTGGAAATGAGTTATTGATTCTAAACTTACGTCCTTTGAATAGATTCATTTTCTTTAAAACAAACCTAATACACCAAAGTGAAAAAGCACATCTGAAACTAGACATAACTACTTATTCTCTGTGAAATAAGTCCTTAATTATAGAATCATTAGATCTCTGAAGCTAGTTCTTTTTTATGTATACAAATTTTTACTTCATGGTCTCAATGCGAATAGCTTAAAATTTATCTAAGATGCGATTTTCCCCCGCCTTTCATAAATTCATAGGGAAAAGCGGTCAGGTATTAAAAAATTCAAACTTCTTAGTTTCTGAATTAAAATTTATTTTTGTTGTTTTTGTCTTATATCTTGTCAGAGCTCTGAAGTTCATGGAGGTATTTCTTTGACATGTCATATTATTTTGATCTTAATGAGTGTTTATTTTTTTTCAATTTTTCTATTTTGCTATTTTTTTATTGGAACATTTTAATTTAAGGCAGAAAACATCTTCATGCGAAAAGCTTTTTCTACTACTGTAGAACATATTTATTTTCTTAACGCAAAATGTTATTTTCTACTGTTGTAGAAATTTTAATTTATTTTTATAAATATATTGTTGTGAAAAGCTTTCCGCGCTGTTGTGGACGTTCCAAATTGTGTATAAATCACGCTTTAGCTAACAAATTGTGTTTAAATCACGCTTTAGCTAACAAATTGTGTTTAAATCACGCTTTAGCTAACAAATTGTGTTTAAATCACGCTTTAGCTAACAAATAGTTTTGAAGAAGAAGAAGAGTTGTCCTCTGGTGCATACAACAGCTATTCACTTCTAATACAAGGTGTCCCACGAAACATGACAGTTGGTGAATAGTTTAGAATTTTTTTTCTCCATTATTTGTCAAGTTGTTTGATACCAAAGATCAATAAAAATATTATATGGGAGTCATGTTATATTAAAATTGATTTCAAAGTAAAATCTTATTAAGCAAAATATTTGTTTAACTAAAAATAACTATTTATGAAATGTCATGTTTTGTGGGATACTCTGTAGAAAGCGTAATGTAAAGTTATATCAGATCATGTAGAAAAATGGATTTATTTTATCATTTACACAGACAACGTTTAAAGTGTAGCGTTGTAATGATCATCCAACTTTTAATTAAAGGGTCGACGCATGAAACTACGTCAACATTGCCTGTAAGATATATCGAGTTTAGAGTAAGAACTAAAAGTTTCCAACTCTAAAAATGAAAATAAAAAGTTAGATATGAATATAAAATAAAGTTTTGTGAAGGATCAGTTTGAATATGTAGATTACAACTGTAAAGAAAGGATCCTTGAGAGGGACAAATGTATTCTTGAGAGTGTGCTCAGGGGCGTATACAGGATTTATTCTGTAGGGGGGGGGGGCTGCACATCAGGTCCCCCCCGTCCACGCCCCCATTATTTATTCAATATTTTAGAATTTTGGCAAATATATAAAATATATATATCTGTATAACCTGCAATATTTCAAACTTTCAAACTATTTTTTCTGGCAGACTTCATAACTTAAAATATCATATGGTCTACGACATCAGATTGCAAAGATATAAGGATTATAAAATTAGAGATTGAGGCGAGTAATCCTTTTGAATTCTTTCACCTAAAAAAGTTCTTAATCTCCCCTTGACTTAAACCTTATTTGATTAAAAATGTAAAAATCTAATTTTACTTGAGATAAAATACTTGAAATGAAGGTGATTAGTTGTAAAAACTAATTAAAGAAACAAGGTTCTTTACTCAAGGGAAACATTAACTTCAAGTGCTACGGAGGAAACCTATCTCCCCTAATTACAAACATGTTCTTTTTATAAAAGAGACTTGAAAATGAGACATTTGTCATCCACAACCGTACCCTGTAAACCTTTGTCCGTTATCCTTGTTTATCTACTTTAACATAATTATTTATTTTTGCTGTTTTCTAATGCAAGAAACGTGTGGATTTATGCTACAGAAATAAGGAAGGAATTAAGAAAAACTACGATGTCTTCCTCAACGTAAATCCAATAATGAGTTTAAAAGTACCATTGTAAATTGCCCATGGTGCTATTTAGATTAACTAGCCTTAGAGGGCGCTTCGCGCCCATCTTTTAAATTAATTGTGAACATGTTCTCTTTGTGTACATCGTAAAACAAAACAAAAATAATTCGCGGATTTTCACAAAAATTTCGTGGATTTTCAAAATTTTCAAAAATTTAATGAAGATCGAATTTTGATGGAGACAAATATTTGAAATTTTGATCATTCATAAACCTTCCCTGGGGTCCC